ATTTAAAATGATTACGATGGTATATAATGTGCATTGAAATACATTTTTGGGTAGAGAAAGGCCAGAAACACTTGCCGAATGGACAAAATAGAATTATTAATTTTCAAATCGCATTATAAATGTGATATTAATACATTTTAAACACGTAAAATGGTATAAAATAATATTTTATCCAACCCAATTTTGTGCACCAGCATATAAATAATACGTTTTGATTAGTTTCACTTAATTGTAATAACCAAAAAAGTAAGTATTCATGACAATGAAATGTTTTAGGTAGCTAATTTTATTTATGAATATTAATTAACACATAAATAAAACTATTAGTAAAAGAAAAGAAAACTGCATGGGGAAAGTATATTTGGACACAAACGACAAGAACAGGAAAATAGTAAAAGAAGAGTTAAAAAAAGCGAAAAAGAACTCCTGGCGAGAGTTTGGAAGAAAAAAGAAACATACGAATCCGATAATAGGAATTTTTGGACAAGGATGAGATACAAACAGCTTTCAGATCAAGAAGACAGCCAAATAACAACATAAAGTTTATTTTTTCACCCATGGCACAGATTACCTAGACCAGATACGAATGTACGCAGCGGCATCTTTACCGGCTCCCTCACAAAGGCGATGCCGGTTTCGGCTTAAGGTGCGAGTTTGTTGGACCATGATAATAATTTATTTATTGTGATTACGAAAAAACGTTAGTTGGACCATTGGAATAGTTAAAAAATAAAACTACAAAGAAAAATAACTTTTTTTTATAAAGCAGTCAAAAATATAATGAAAAAAAGCCAATAATATTTATAAATGGGACAAAATTTTTCTTTTGGTTTTGTCTGACTTTTCGAGGATTTCAAATCTCTGTTTGCATATTTAAGAGTATAAAAAATTGTGAGTCTTATAAATAATTTAATGGTGTACATTTTCGCAAATTGTTGGCAAGATGACCAAATTCTAGTTTGTTCATCTCAAAAAGGTATGCGTTGGAAATTCCAAGCTTAGTTGACAAACTATCAAATAGAGATATAAATATTTTTTTTTAATTTGAAAATATGAAAGAAAACACCTTTTCTTCAGAGTCGTATGCTTTAAAATGCGTTAACAAGTTACAATTGTTAAGTAAATTGCATTCTTCTGAGAAATTTACGCAAATTTCGCAAGAGTGGATATGTAATGATTTTTTGATTAAATAGGCACATACATAGTTAAATGCATTTTGAGTGGTCACATTTAGCTCCCTGTAGTCACATTCAGAAATTGGTATTGCCCCAACTGATTGTTTTGAAATATATTTAATTTTCATTAAGCGGAGAACTTGTTTTCCTAAGGGAAAAACTAATCCCGGGATTCCTTTCCAGTGCCGCTAGTGCCCACGAGCCGCAACTGGTAAAGAGCAGTTATTTTAATCCACAAAATAGTTTTAAAGAAAAACTTTATAATAAAACTTAAAAGTCATGAAAATAACGCCAGGCAATAACGTCAAATTTGTATTTATAACTCAAAAATCAAACGAAAAAAGTAGTAAAACTTCTAACTGGTCATTGTCATTTTTACCACGTGACCACTAAGTCTAGAGCGTTTGTTAATTGAATCGGTGAGTGAAAGAACAGTACAAGTGCTAAAAACGGCAATTTTAACTGAGATAGGCAAATTGTTTAAAATTCATAGGCCTATCACATAGCGAAAGAATAATACAGAGACCAACATCATACGAGCGATGGGGGCTTGTTCAATTTTCGGCTGAGTGAAAAAACAGTACAAGTACGGCGCATGTAAATCAGCTGATGAACAAAAAGCTAATTTTGTCATTCCACAGTACAGCCAGTTTACATACACTGGAAAAACTTCTGGATATGTTACTACAAGTACCTTCATAGGCGGTTTTCTCTCGCACACTTAGGTGTGGGGCGCATTAGACTATCAAACCTAATGCCAATCTGCAGTTACCCTTATGGAGGGCATACACGCTACGGTCTGTCTGTGAAGGTGTGCCTGCACAGGTAGACATGCACGCTACGACATGCAGCCGACCTGCGCCGACATACCTGCAAAGGTAAACCTCTTCGGTAGACCTTTACGTGTATTACATCATTACAAAAGACATACTCAGAAGTTGTCCCTATTAACGTAAAGAAGATAGCTAATATAAAGATACTTTTATTCTACTTTAGTGATGAAATCCTAGAGTTTTACTACCATATATTATTTCTTGGAAAGTCAAAAATGAAGATTCTGATTAAAACATTACAAATAAGTTTGTTAAATAATAATCAATAAAGCTACAACAAAATTTAAAGCATTTTTTTTTAAATTGAGTGAAAGAACAGTATAACTGCAAGTCATTTTTTTTAAATATCATTTTTTCCATAATTTTATTTTTAAATTTATGTACGTATTATTATCGGTTAACAAAAATTCTATATCTTTACAATACATAATTAGGTCGAATAACCCATAGTTCCCCTTTAAAACAGTTTTTTTTGTTTTTCTCAAAATGGTCATTTTGGATATGTATTGTTCTTTCACTCACCGATTCAATTAAATTTGCAGTTAAATAATCTAATCTTCCATCACGTGATAAAAGATTAATATTTCATTATACATGTGTTTATTCAAACGCAGCAAATGAGTCATAATTTTAGCCAAGTAATGCCAAACCCAAAATTTATTTCGCCAAAATTTAAAAGTTTCTAATCATTAGACGTTAACAAAATAATACGTCATTAATAATTGGATCAAGGAGAGATAATCCATTATTTTATTTTAAGTGACTCATTGTCGCACAAAATTAAGCTTTAAAATATAGAACAATGCTATCAATGATTGTTAGTAGGTACCCTTGAAATCCACAAAGAGTATAATTATTAAAACACAGATATAAAGATAGTATAGACAAAATTTGATGTGGACCACGTTAGTAAAATGACATCCATCAATGTGAAAATTTCACTCCTACCTTCAACCCTCTTCGAGTGACGGGAGCAACCCCTAAATTTGTAAATGAGAAATAGGGGCTTGTGATACCTCATTTGAAAGGCCTTTTAAAAAATTAACAGTAAAAGAAAAAAGTTCATGTGATCGATGAAATTCGCTAAACCCTAAAGAATTATTAACTAATAGAGCTTCGTTCTTGATAATAAAAATCAAGCAAAAACAAGTTTGAAGGTTTCAACTATCACTCGAAGGGGGTTGAAGGAAGGGGTGAAATTTTCACGTTGCAGGATGTCATTTTATAATCTAAAATTGGCGTGTTTCGGGATTTTTTATAAATATGCACGGTAATTGAACTACTGAATTCATTCCATTTGGCTGTCACACACTGTAGAAATGTTGGAAATATACCATAATTATTATGACCCCTGAATCCTGAAGCAAATATTTAGTACAGAAAGTATCAAAATATTATAAAAACATTAAACAAGACAGAATGTATTTTATAGGTTCTAATAATTATATTTTTTATAACTAATTGTAATTTGAAGAAAAAATAATGTACAGTCTGTTCGCTATACTTACGCGGGTTTCGGATTAACAAAATTATGCAAATTAGTCATTGACAACCACTTCCAATAAGCCTCTTCCCAAGAAATTAGGTAAAACTGCCCTAATGGTCAGATTTAAATTAAAATAACATTAGGGTAGGTACTAAATTTGTTACAAATATTGCAGTTGAATTGATTCTTTGCAAGTGTTGACATTGTATGTATATTGTAAATTTAGTGTGTTAGATGTAGATAGTCTAATTTGTAGTGTACATAAGTATTTTACGGATTAAAAAGAAAATGGCGGTCCGTTAAAATCGGTAATGTCTGTACAAAAACGCGTATGCGATGCTCTAGGAATTAGCGAAACCAAATTAAGAGGAGTATTACAAAATCACAATAGTGAACTGCCGAAAGAAGATCACCGCAAAACTCGCCCATTATTGAAAACGAAAGATATTTCAGATGGAAAGAAATTTGAAATTCGTGATACCATTTATCGAATGAGGGCCAACAAGGAACATGTGACCTTAAATACAATTCTCTCGGAATTAATAGATAGAACATTTGACGACATTGGCAGAACAAGTTTATGGCAAGTGATACATAACTTGGGTTTCAAATTTCAAATGGAGGATAACAGAAAGGCCCTTTGAAAGAAGTTCTGTCGTGCACAAGATAATTAACTTTCTAAGAAAATATTCTAAATTTAAAGAACAAGGGGTAAATTTTATATATTTAGACGAAACATGGATATTTTCTAGGGGTGCAACCAAGAGAATATGGCAAGATAATAACGTAAAGTCCATCAAACATACCGATGGAGAAGGGAAACGAAACATAATTTTACATGCAGGAGGGAAATCGGGTTTTATAGAAGGTGCTGATTTAATATTTTCACCTAAATCAAAAGCCAGTGACTATCACGATAATATGAACACAGAAATGTTTGTAAAATGGTTGCATGAAAAACTTCTCCCAGGTTTAAGTGAGCCCAGCGTAATTATTTTAGACAATGCACCTTACCATTCTGAAGTATTAAACAAAAGTCCAACGAATTCTTGGACTATTGATAAAATTAAAGAATGGTTGACAAAGGAACATATACCATTTCCTCAATATATATTAAAATCAGAATTATTACGCTTGGCAAATAGACACGCAAAACCAAAAACCCCTGTTGTTTCTAATGTTAATCAAACAAAAATAATTATATTAATAAATACCCAGTTTGTATTTAAAATGGGTTTTATTTACAATTATATATAGGATCACAGTGACCCGTCGATAGCAGTAGCGGAAAATTTATTTACGGGTTAATTCATTCAATATTTATAAGAGAAATTAATGGTCACCATATCAGATAAAAAGCAAAAAGATTTATTACCATAATACCGATTTCCTTAACAGTAACAAAAGTTGTACGCTACCAGAATATTAACATGAAACCATTACTGATTGTGTAATAATTGCATATTTTATATAGAATTTAGTATTAATGAAAGAAATTTACTTAATATGGATTGCGTGGAGTGTACAGGCGGCATTTTGTCAAAGAAAAATGTGAATGGACTTAGAACAATGTATGTACATTCTCAGCGAAGTATATCAATAACTAGGTAAGCTCTATCTACTAAATACTAGAAAAGAACTAGCAATGATTGTATAAAAATTAAGCAAAATTTTGATATAGTAGTTTTTCGAATGAAATTGTTCAGAAACGCCGATATTTTTGCAATTTAAACGTGCCCAATCTTTGGAAAATTAAACTAGCGCTACTTATAATTTCTTCTTTACAACTGCCATAATAATTTCAAAAAACTTGTCGATAATAATCTTTAACACTAATTAAAATAAAAACACGAATGGTACAATACAAATAGTTTTTCTTTTTTCGAAAAGTGTACAATAATTGAGATCGAAAGCACATTTTAGGGACAAGGAAAATTAAAATTTAGATTTTATTTTATTTCAGATTAAAAGTTTTCACGATCAATAAATTTCATTTGTTTTGCTTCAGACTTGGACACAGTAAAACGAAAACTTTTGTAAAACTTCAGTAAGCCTGCGGAGACAGTGTTTTGTCAGGGTCCCAGGATTTTCTATGAATTAGAACCTTTTTAGAAGGAAGGGTGTCGATTAAAGATGAATTACGTAGCTAAATGTCTTCATCTGCAAGAACCGATCAAAAACAGTTGACAGAATCAGAGATCTTTGATTAAAAAATTTACGAGAAAAAGTTGAATTATTTAACTCATATCTCCTTCATCAGATTTTGATTCATGAATTGGGGATGAAAAAGAAGATAGTATCAAACTTCTGCTGTCAATATACCTCCCTAACTCGGTCATCACAGACGTACAGACGTGGCGAACTGGGCAGAGAAAAAACACAATCCATCGTCTATGATTGGCAAACTGCCAAACACATTGTAGACGATGAAAAAATTAGATGGGCAATATCCAGCTTCTCTTCATTAAAATCGCCAGGACCTGATGGTATCTATCTAGCCCTACTTCAGTACGGCCTGGAAGAACTCACACCGCACCTGGTGGGTATATTCAGATCCTCGTTGGCTCTGAGGTATATCCCCAAAAATTGAGAGATGTAAAAGTGGTATTTATACCCAAACCTGGAAGGATGGATTACACTGTCCCAAAAACATACCGACCAATTAGTCTGACACCGTTTTTCATGAAGACAATAGAAAGGCTATTCGAAAGGTACCTACATAAGGGATGCGGTGATTACAACAACACCACTACACCTAAACCAACATGCATACACCCCAGGCATATCTACTGATTCAGTCCTTCATCTAGTTGCTGGCCGGATAGAAAGATCCCTGGACAATAAGGAGTCCGCCTTGGGTGTTTTCATAGACATAGAAGGTGCTTTTGATAAAACCACCTTCTCAAAGATAATACACTCACTAACCAACAGGAATGTTCCACATATGGTTAGTGGGTGGATACATAACATGCTCTCAAAGCGAGCAGTAAACATAAGTATAGAATATGTGAACATAAGAGGCTTGGTTGCGAGGGGATGTCCACAGGGAGGGGTGCTATCACCTAGCCGCCTCAATAATGATAGTCACTACATAATAGCATATGCAGATGACCTGGTCATTCTGCAAACAGGGAATTTTGAGAACATACTCTACGAAAGAATACAAGTAGCTCTAAAAATTATCGAACAGTGGTGCAAGGACCATTCACTGTCTATTAATCCTAAGAAGACAGAAACCGTCCTTTTTACAAGGAAAGGATGAAAATGGAATTAAAACTTTCAGAACTCCTAAACACAAAACTAAACAGAAGGATGACAAAAATTTGCGTAAGAAGGGTTCAAAAAAACTTTTGGATGACCAAGAGGACATTGGGAGTAAAAGGTACCTTGACTTTTTGTAATCAATTGAAAATGATCTTTATTTTTTGAAACGTGCTATTAGTACTAATGACAAGTCTTGGTTGTTTGAACACGACCTACGCTTTAACTTCTCCAAGGCCCAAAAAAGCAAGAATGATCAGGGCGAAAATCAAATGCTTGATTTGGTTGGAATCGTCTACAAAGAGTTTGTGCCTCAAGACCAAACAGTCAATCAACACTTTTATCAAGAGGTTCTTGAAAAACTTTTAAAACAGTGACCAAAGATCAACAATTAGGTGTTGCATAACTACTGTGCGCCTTGTCACACATGTCTTTGACCAATAAAAACATTGCTGTGGCTTCTCAGACTCCTATTTTGCGCCGAGCTTGAGTCCTTGTGACTTTTTTCTTTCTAAGAAAAAGTCATCTCAAAGGACGCCACTTTGGGACACTCAAATACGTTCAAACTTTTGTTACCTACCAGCTGAAGGCTTTTCCAGTATCCGAGTTCGAGTACTGCTAGAGGATTGGAAGAACCGTCTCCAACGATGTGTGGCTGTCAAATTATTATAATCGAATGAAAAGTTTTTTCTGAAAACACTCCTTTTTTTTCTTATTTTTCGGGTACCAGAATTAATTTTCCGAAAGTGTTTTCTACGCTATTTTTTGGGTAGGTACTTATTAAACAAGGCTCTTGTAAATATCAAAGTAGCGCACATAAACTTGTACGTTTATAAAAACACGTGTTCTAATTTGCATTGGAATTAAAGACAAATAACTATTTTATAGATTAAATATATTTGTAACCGCAGGCGCATTCCATGATTAATGTTTATATCGTTCATAATGTATTGCTTAATCGCAGTAATATTTAAATCAGTTTAACATCCTAAGAATTGCGTTGCCTCGAATAGTACACGATCATTTAATTTCGGAATGTTATATATAATTATGTTAACAGCTCTATTAGTGACTTTTTAAATGACCGAATTATTTAAATCCTTATAGATTTTTAAACATAGAAAATCATAATAGTAGTTTGTGAAACAAGAGTTGATATGATAGCCATAATATCGTACGAAGACGAAATTTGAGCACGACGCCATAAGCGGAGTGCTCAATCATCTAAGAGCGATATGGACAATCCACTCGAGTTGTACAGTATATTTTTTCTACGACCCACTAACAAATATCTACAAATATTAAAAATTATTTTAGGTTATTATGATAAAATAATTAATTTAAAAATAATTTAAGACTGTTACTAATCTATAAAATAAAATAAACAAGAAAACAAATTCATTTGATTTTTTTCGATATGAAATTTGAACTCGAGTCTTCCGTATGGAAGGTAAGAAGGCTGACATAGGACCATCTACGCGTTTATTTTGTTTGCTTTAATACTCGTAATTAAATTAACTTCATATAGTTTTATTTAAATTAACAAATTATTTATAATTAATTATAGACGAAATAAAAATATAAATTCTATTATTTATCGATTCTACAAAATAATAACTCATTTTAATGAATGTTTAATCTCCAATAACTAAAAAATATACTGACAATTAGTTTAACTCTTATTTAAAATTTTAAAAATAATAGCAGTCGGTTGATCAAAATATGAACTGTGATTGGTGGATTTAATTTTTGGACAGTGTTCTCACTACCTTAAATGGATATGAAATATATTCGTTCAAGTGTAAAGGTTAAAGAAAAGGTCCTTTATTTCTCACAAGTCAATTTATTGGCGACCGGTTTCGAAGTTGTCACTTCATCATCAGGCACACCTTGACTAATTCCATAAAGGAAGCGCTACAAAAAATTTAACAGAACGAGTTACTTTTTTACTTTTTACTTTCAGTAATTAACATTATTTCCTTAAAATTTTTTAAACTGTTTGTGCTTGTAAAACTATTTTGTTTAGTTAATAATTGTCTTAAATGTGTTTTAATTAATTATTTTATTCAAAAAAGACATCTGGTGGTTTAACCTAACCTACATTAAAAATTTTTTAAAAAATACTTATTACACATGACTTTTTTAACTCGTTCTGTTAAACTGTTAAACTTTTTGTAGCGCTTCCTTTATGGAATTAGTCAAGGTGTGCCTGATGATGAAGTGACAACTTCGAAACCGGTCGCCAATAAATTGACTTGTGAGAAATAAAGGACCTTTTCTTTAACCTTTACACTTAATCCCTACTACTCACATATGGCTACCCTCACTCCAAATATTCGTTCAGTTGAAGGCAATAGTATACTTTTTCGTTTTGTAATCTGTGCGTAGATAAGCTAATATCCATGTGGGTGTAGAAAATAGTAATTATATAATAAAATAACTAATTTTAAAATAATTTATGACTTTTAATAATTTTTAAAATAAATTAAACGAAAAAAAAAAGAAAAAAGTTCATTTGATTTTTACACCATCCGAGAACACCTTCATTTATAGTCCGATTTTTAATAATAACGGCTCAGCGAAGGCGGTGGCCCGTCAGTACCTGTCACAGCTTGCGAAGATGTTCAACTAGAGGATATTTTTTGCACTTTGCACGATCCTGATGATCAAAATTTATCACCTACATCATCTAGCCAAACTGCGAGAGTGCAAGAACAATTTGAAAAAATTGTGACAGAATACAAAGAATCTAAATCGGATCACTCGGATTCGAATGAATGGAAAACCGAAATTGACCCGGGCAATTGGCCAGACATTGAAAAAATTACCGACCAGCAACAATCTAAATCAACTGAACGCGATGGTAGACATTTAACATTTGCGATGTGGTACAAAACATTGACCAATGATGAAAAGCTTAAAAGATCTTGGCTTGTATATTCTAAAACAAAAAATGCCATTTTTTGTACATGCTGCAAGATTTTTCAGAAATCTTCCTCTTCCGATACATCTGCATTGTGTACTACAGGATTTATTAATTGGAAAAAAGCTTATGAGAGATTAACCGAGCACGAGGCATCTCAAATGCACAAAGAGTGTATGATTAAGTGGAAAACTCGAGTTCAACAAATTAAATCATGCCAGGGTATTGATCAAGACATTGAGCGAGTAATTCAAACCGAAAAAGAAAAATTGAGACAGATCCTGCATATGGTTATGGATGCTGTATTATATCTAGCAACAAACTGTCTTTCTTATCGTGCACGGAAAAAAAATTGTAGAACAAATTTCTACAATTATACATTTTTTCTCTACAATAAATAGTACATATAGGGACAGGAACAAT